CTGTCTGTCTTTCTTCCAAAGAGAGCTACTTTGCTCCTTTTGCTCTGAGTTTTTCAGCGACTGATGGCTCTAGTTCATTTCTGCTGAATTAATTGGTCCCTGAATGAATTCTGTTGACAGGGCAATTCATCATGTGTTTGGCCTGACAGTGACTGGGGTGTTGGGAGTGTGGTGGTGGTGGTGGAGGGGGAGGCGAGGGTTGAGGGGGAGCCGCAGGAGAAGCTGGGGTTATGGGGTAGGAGGGGGGGTTGATGGTTCTGCCCTCTCTTTTACCCGCTTCTATTATTCCTCTTTTCTGCTAACAGGAATAGCCTGCATCAAATTCAGCTTCACTTCTCGCTGAATATTTCCCAGCTCTCTCCCCTCCTCGTGGTTGCAAACAAACACGCCTGGGCTGACAGATCCAGCTGATTAGGGAGCTCCTCTGTCTGCTTTGGAGGATATCCTCATTACTGGCCAGTCAGGTAGCAAAGCCCGGTTAGCCCGGGACCACCGGCGCCTGTTATTTGGGACCTGACACGTCCACTAAGAGAGGTGCATTGGCTTTAATTGCATCATGTATCACACAATAGCCATTAGGGTAATTATTTACTGGTGAAGGGTAAATGAGGTTTGGCGCAGGGCTGAGCCAACCAGCCATGCCGCTAGCTTCATGTTGGCAGAGGTGTGGCGCTCACCTATACGCTAACAGAGCTAATAGCTGGTCATTTGCTTCATTTGGAAAATATCCTGTCATCCAAAACCCCCCGCTGTCGCATCCCTCCCCTGCTTATCCTTTTTCCCCCTCTTTTTTTTTTCTTCTCACACTCACTCTCAGTCATGCAGGGCACTTATTATGTCCAATCAATCAATGCTCACTCATTAGGAACCTCCCCTCAAGTATCCTCTGGATGGCCTCACGCAGCAAGAGTCAAAAATTACCTCATAATTGCCGCTCAGGCATCATAACAAGCTAGGCTGCCCCGGTGACACGGCCATACAAACAGGTCTAACACAGGAATTGATGGATACTGAAGAATCGTATTATATATTGCCATATCCAATTAGATACAGCACATAAAGCAGCAGATCCATTCCCCTCTTTTTCGCGACGTCCAAACCAGCGCTTGGATATGAAGACGTGAAATGCATTTTCATATTTTCTCCCCCCTCTCATCTTTGGTATGTCAGTGCAAATGATAACATCCTGAGGATTTATTGTACATTTGACACACCAGTAACCAAATTATAATTCAGTTGCTGCAGCATATTCATAGAAGCACGGTACAAATCGCACAGAGAGAGAGAAAGAGTGTTCAGTCAGCATGTATTAGTGCGGAGCGGCTGGAAAGGTCAACAGTTAGATCTGACACTGTGGTTTGAAGTTACGCATGATGAGGTCCACTGTTACTGTTAATACTTGACATAAAAAAGGGGGGTTCTTATTTCTGTAAAAGCTGTATTTTCTTTCATTCACATCCTACCACATGTAGAGCTCCAACCTGTTTCTTTCTTTCTTTCTTGACAAATAATGAGGAACAGTTTTGAACAGATCAGATATTTTCAAGATCAGTCGTTCCATATGCGGGACGCGATCGCTTTTAGTGGCAATCTGCAGAAAAAAAAGTTATTCACATTATTCCAAAACCTCATAAGGAGTAATGACGTTAATGTCACAATTAAATATAAAGTAAAACACGAAGATGAATAACTTAACGACTCGCTGTATCATATGTAGAATATGCAGTTAATCAAAACATCAGCGCTTCTGTGTTAACTCGATTACTTAAGTAGTTTTTCATCTAAATAACGGTTTCTAATCAATCATCTGCTAATCTGGACTTTTACTTTAATATAGTTTTGGTCTAAAAGCATACTCATACATAGTCAATCTTAAAAAATAATGTCGTCTTTATGCTTTTAAAGTTGTTTTTCATGATTAAATAAACGTTACGCTGATCGGAGTCAATCACAACCTAACACTATTCTTACTTATACAGTATAGACACGGTAAATAGTATATATATTTATATTCCAAAGGATGCTGTTGTCATCTGGTATGCTGCAGTCAATTTGAGCGTGATTGACAGAAACATCCAGGTTCACAGTTTATTGCTTTCTGAGGAGAGAGCCAGATATGCCAATTTAGACAGGAAAGTGACAAAAAAGTTTCCATCTAAATAGAATAATTCTGCTTCTGGGAATTCTCAGCCGGGGAGAGGAAAGAGTCAAGCTCCCCCTCTTCTTCTCTCCTCCCCTCCTTCCTTTAACAAGGGCTGTGAATGACAAACATATACGCCGGTTAGAGGCTGACAGAACATCAGCTTTTGATGCTTCACAGGGGAGCTATGAAATAAACAACAGACAGAGAAATTGAATTACAAAGCAAAAAGAGGGTCTCTCCTTGTGGACCCAGAAGCGTCAGGGTGCACCAGAAAACCACCCAGCCCTTTATGTTTTAGTGGAGCTCAATTTTTCTTTTTACAATGTTGAAATCTGGACAGAAATATTTATGGTAAAGGATAGAAAGTGAGTTTCATACCAGAAAGACTCATTATATTTTAATTTATCAGAGCTGGCACTGCGAGATCAGACCATAAAAACACTTCTCCCTATTATAACGCTTTAAAAAGTTCTCTTGAACGTCTGAATTAACAACTGAAAGCCAAACAACTTTATTATATATTCTTTTTCTGTCTGACATCATTTTAAATGTACATGCGGCTTTATCAGGCGCCACCACAGCCCAAATCCTCTGCAAATCGCACGGCAGAGCTAATCAGGACAGTGTCCACTTGTTGTAAATCAATAATGATATAACTAAGTCATACAATGCAGCGGTGGCGGAGGGATTACGCAGCCAAGAAAGAGTGAAAATAAGCTCTGAGAGGGATTTCATGCATAAATCTCTCCCTGCAACTTAGCACAAATTGAATTCAGGCACACTGCTAGAAAAATTAATTCAGCTTTACAAAGCGGGGAGAGGTTAAACACTTTATGTGCTGCTCAGTGATCCAAATCATGGAGAAAACATTTAGAGGCATTCTCACTGTAGCACCCGCGCACCATGTGATCTTTATACCTGAGGAGTAAATTTTATCCCAAAAGAGTCTCGTTATTGTTGAACTGTGTGTCGTTAACGATCAGAAATTCAAGAAGTGTCCATAGAAATGTATGCTTAATGCTATATAGGAACTATGTTATATTATTTCGCATCTGTGAATAAACTCATAGAGAACCATGTATTCACTATTTTCTCATTGAAGGAGAAAAAAGGGCGTAAAGTGGTTGTATTATCAAAAACAAAACTGTCTGCAAGTTAAGTTAAACTTAAAGATATCAAATACAACAGAGGTGATTTCTTTATCTGTACTGTTTGATAAAGCAATATATCATAATGATTTAAAACACCCTTATTAATGTTTGCTGTGTACATTGTTATCGTAACTGTTTGCAACCAAATGAGGTCCTGTTTTTCTTAACTAGACAAAAACACTAACAGTAGAAAAAGAACTTATTTGCTTTTACTTAAACTATCCTCTTAAGTCAGTAGTCTAGTTTAGTGAGTCTAAAATGCGGCTGTATTTATCTACAACGTCTTTAAAGTGCGTATTAGTTGTAATAGAATCACCTTTAAACATGGAGTCCCTTTTTATGTTAGATTTAGTTTGCTGGACTCTTTTTGTTTTAAGAAAGTTTCCTGGTTAAACTGAAACACTTCCCACTAAATATTATATTCCAATTATGTAATGTTATGTGACGAGATGTTTTGCGTTTAAGTCCTAATAGAATCGAATCAGAGAATCAGACAGGATTTTATGATACAAACCCAACAGTGAAAAGTTATCAAGTTGCACTTTGTGAGTTTTTAATTTGAGTTTGTGTGAGCATGATAACTTGAAAATGCATATATCCTGTTTACAGAACAACTATCGAAGTTGCATACCTTTAGTTCTGCAGGTAGATCCCTGCGGTTTTACACAACAAGACACGTAAGAATCACTAAGGGAGTGATAGGCTATTCTTAAAGCCATATAATTTACTGTATGTTTATCTGTATACAGGACTGCTATTGACTTAGTTACCTTTCTTTGTATTTTAGAAACAAAATGTGAATGAAGACACTTTCAAAATGCTTAAATGTGGTCAGTGTCTTTGACTGTGAGCTGACTGAGTTGACATTTACTAAAAGATTATACTTGAAACAGTCAGAGCGACCCTGAACAGATTTCATTTGTGGCTTTGACTGGATGAAAATATTTAAGCTAAGCACATATAAGCTGAACAGTGTTATGAACACAAAAAACTTTCCTGCAAACTCGCTTGTTCTTTAGCAAATTGCCATTTTGTTCACAGTGAAAAAAACATGACAAGTAGGACAGTGATAAGACAGTATGGACCTTTCATGAATCACCTTTTAACCAATATGTCCTCTAATGCCAGAGTTAAACTAAAGTGACACCCTTAATACAACTTCATATCTTTTTTTAATCAAAGCTGACTCATTGTGGTTTCTGTTTTCATGTCTCCACTAAACAGTAGCTGAAATATGACAACATGGTGAAAAAGTCTCTTCAGCTCCATTTGGTACAACATGTTTGAGTAATTGTGTCCAAAATTAGGTAACTGTGTATTTGTTATTTTATCAAATCAATCTTTTAGAAAACAGAAAAAAAGCTGACATCCTAGACTCCTTTTTTGGTTCAACTTACAGAGATCATAGTGCATGACTTTGGCTCAGTAGTAGAGTGGGTTGTCTCTCATTCTGAAGGTTGGTGGTTTGATCCTCGATCCAGTGGTCCACATGATGCCCCAGTGTCCTTTGGAGAGATACTGAACCCCAAACAGCTCCTGGTGGCATAGCTAGCTGAGTGTGAATGCGATGCGCAGTTTACATAAAGTGATGTGATCTTGTGAATGTGCTAGGCAAAAAGTGTAAAAAGTTTTTGTGTAACTTTTCTTAATTGATAACATTATTTATAAATCAATCATCAGACAAGCATTTCAGAAACACCATCCAGTCCTTTTTGCGTAAAAGATTTCAGACACTTTTATTATTGTACAAGTGAGACCAGCATAATGAAAGTGATAATACCCATGAACATGAAAGACATTTTTTCTTACTGTATTTACAGAGAAGTGTCTTCACATCACACACAAAAAATCCTTCTACAAAATGAACAATTTGTAAATAACATAACAATTAAATAAACTCCACCTACCTTTAGGTTTACAGCTGAATATGCATATGATGACCATCTCTGCACTGCATAGAATTTATACATATACTTTTCCTCATGAACAACGTGGGTTTTTCCTAGTAATTATAATAATAATAATAATAATAATACTGCTCACATGATGCGAAAAGACGGCCTGTAAATTAACAAGAACTAGAACTAAGTCTTTGGCAAATGCGAATACATTCACTTGACAGATGAGGAAACGATAATGCCAGCTGATTCAAAGAAAGACCTTGGCCTGAAAAGTGAGGGAGCGAAAGTAAAGAGGGAACATGTTTAAGGCATTTAGCTGAAATCGTCGCCCTGCGTTTTTGACTTTATTGGAGGCGTCAGAAAGATCCGATCGGAGTGATCCCGGACGCCTCTGGCTTTGAAACAGACAAATGTTTGTACTGGTTTGAATTAGGATGGCTTTTATATCTCTCTCTTTTTTCTTTTTTTCACCTGTGGTTGGATGCCAAAGACTTAATCGACTTAAATAAAAAAACACAAGCTGTGAGAAAATAGTAGTGCACGTCAAGGCAGTGACATGATGGGCCTTGATTAACAGGGAAAAAACGGTGAAGCTGTAAGTGCCTTTTTCAGATGCAGACTCGTTAGACTTACAGTCAGGTTCATGAAATAAAGCAAAAATATGCATCATCATTTTTCTGCATAATAACGCTCCAGTGTTGCAAACCTCCAAAAATAGTGCAAAAATAACACACACAAAGAAAAACAGCCTGATGACCTCTTGAATCCTGACAAATAAGAAACAGTGAAACACTAGCCAAGCAGTCTGCAGGTTACGAATTATAAAAATGAAATAAAAAATTATTTTAAGAATATATTTACTAGTTTCTTGAAATCTTGCAAACAGGGAGCCATGGTGATATATTGTCATGGCTCTGTCTATTTTTCCCCAACAGATGTTTCTTTATTATTTCATTTTCATTTTTACATCTTGATTGTGTATCACAGAGAACATGTCCTAATCTTCTCATGGCATCAAAAGCGTTCGATTTAGTCATGCTGGATGTTTGGTCGGTGACTGTTTCAGATGGATAGAAAACAATGTCAGCCCGCCACAGTCTGCGTGTGCCGCTGCTAATCTCCTCTGATCTCGCCGCGCCGCCGTCTGAATCGAGGGGGGAGATGAATGGTAAAAGGAAAAATAAAAGCTGCTGCTACATTTTTAAGCTCTGGACAGCGTCCCTGCAGAGAGCCGTCAAGACAAGGAATGTACAGTATTGATCCGTGATGGGATGAAACGGTGATTCTGCTACAGGAGGAAAATAAATTTGTGTTTTCAGTCTTCTTTTTTTTTTGTTCTGTAACCAGCTGCAGTTGTTACCGTCGTGTGTGCAGCTTCTTTCAGTGTCTCTGGTGCTGTCTTGCTGATTTTTTTTATTTTTTGGCTTTGAATGTCCCAAAAAAGCTTCGTGGTGAAAGAAGGGAAGTCATCTGGAGTCCCAAAGAAAAAAAAAAAAACAAAACTCAGTTCAGTGTCTCATTGTGTGAGTCAGGAACATGTTACGCGCAGTTGCTCAGTGTCCAGTGGACCATGCCGCTCACACCGGGGCAATATGGAGGCTAAGGCCATGGTCCTGCAGGTTGATTTGGTTTCCATGGTAACTAGTGACGGTCATAGGCAGTGGCAGCAGTGGGAGGGGCGGAGCCTCTCGATGCGGCACTATAATAATAAGGGGAACCTGAAAGTTAACAGAAGAACGAACCATTTGAAACAACAACAAAAACAGTTTAAACGGCCATTTACCCAATTTATCACCATCATGATAGATTAACAGTTGATCTAACATGACAAAGACGCAGATATAGTGGTTGAAACGGCTTTAAAGTTCATGATCATATTCTGTTTGTTCTTCCTCACCCTTGTGTTGCTCAACCTAACCGATCTATAGAACAGATGGCACATTCAAAAAGGAGTTCAAGGCAGTTTTTTTATGACTCTCAAACTAAGTAACCGAATCTCAGCTGATGACTCAGCAAAAAAACTTAGGCTGCATCCAAAATGGATCCCTAACCCCTATACAGGCGATTATATGGGGGTTAGCGCCATTTTGAGGGGTGTCCGAAACCTGAGTGATCAATTCCAGTGCCCCATATAGGCGACTCTAAATTTCCCATAAAGCATTGCAAAATGTAGTGACCATCCGATGGTCGCTCACCGGTGATGGAGATCCCGTCATACATTGCGTCATGCCATGTAGTGTCTGAAACCTCCTGTGATTGAGCTCATTACATAGTCAGCTATATAGTGAAACCCCATATGGGGGTTAAGGGTTAGTGATTGAGTGATTCATTTCGGACACAGCCTTAGTCACCGCTTTTTTTTTTCCGGCTAACTACTCCCTGAAAGGTATCGCAAATGTAAGCTAATAAGCCTCTGAGGGTACAGCTACTTGAAGGAACTGGAATCTAGAATAGCTCTGCGACACTGGTGGCAAGGCAGAATGAAGAGGAGAAATATGCTGTTTATGATTTAGCTTCAAAAAAAAAATCAAAAAGTTATACACTTGGTTTTGTGGTGGAGGAGATATCAACCGTAGACTCTCCATCCTTCATTCTGCCTGGACAGCATAAACAACATACTTAATTATTCAGGGATTTAAAGAAGTTTTAGGAAGTTTCTTTTATAGGCAACATTACCCAACACTAACTAACTGCTGTAGATAGTAGGGCTGAGCGATATGGCCTCAAATCAATATCACAATGTATTGAGCAGTTAAATGGACGATAACTACTCCATAAGCTGCTAACACCCTCCCAAATTAACTTCATCTACTTCAGCTGCTACAACTTTTGTACCGTCCTCCATCTCCTCACTTGTCTTTCCCTCTTTGAGTCACATCTCTGATGTAGAACAGCGTCTTAAAGGGTCATGAGACCATAGCCTACGTACACACATCCAAAACCAACTTTCATTTATTTTTTGACGCCAAATATATTGACATGGGCAAAATAACGTTGATTATTGTTGTTAATTTCTGTATTGGAACATCTTCTGGTTTATCGCCCAGCCCTACTCAATAGTGAGCAAATTAGAGAGGCAACTTTAGGAGCTTTAGTCTATATTTCAATCATATGTTTGGTATTATGAATTCAGAAAGAGGCTGCATCCCAGACCCTTCACAGGCAGGTTAACACTCTTGTTCCAGCCTCACTTCCGTAGCTTTCTGCCAAGTGTGCTGCTTATGGTTTTAAAGCTACAACTGGACAAGAGGAGGAGGAGGGGTTTGGAAAGCAGTCTGTTAACGACTCTAATTCAGCTTCTTCCTGTCTACTCACTTAGTAATGCTGGGTTGCTGAATCGCCAGGCTTCATTGTAGGTTGTGTACTGTGGATGGCTGTAGGGGTTCCCCGAAAACTCGCTCCCTGCAAAACAAAACAACAAATCAATTAGCATTTCAATGCGTCAAACCATTACCCCTTCTTCACATGCAGTCATTTCTCGTCATTCAAAACAGGATGCAATTTGAGGGGGAAAATGATAGTCATCGTCGTGCGACCAGCCAAGCAAGTAATTTATTTCTTTTTCATTTCACTTAAGTTATGCAACACTGAACAATACAGGATGTGACACTGAAGGCGGCTTTCCCTGTCCCATTTATGGATATCTACCCATTCTTCTTCCTCCAGTATATTCCAAAGAGCTCTAATAAATAGAGAGTGGTAATAAACAGCTTCATGCATACATTTTTGATATGCTGTAATAAATCCCGCAACCCTTCTTGGAGGAATTTTTAACGTCTCTGATCTGAGCCCCTTCAGGTCTGAGCTTTCGGTGTTTGCTACAACAGGGTTTCATTGCTGGGGAAGTAACTTGGAGCATGTCAGTGAATGCTGCTGTTGGTTTCTTTCCCCTTTATGAGACGATAAAGGCGAGATTTTATATGAAGCTGCTGAGAAATGGCTTTGCTTTAACTGTGTTTTGTGCCTGTCACTAAATCTTAGCGGTTGTGTTGGGTTGTAGGATGAATGGGTTGTAACACAAAACCACAAGCCATGGGATTAAGGCCCCTCATCTTTTTTTTGCTGTGTGCCACATAAGAACGAATGGGAAGTGAAAGTGTGTTTGACTTGACACTTTTCCACTAACATGGAAACACATTTTTATTCGCCAAAATCGTGAACTAAACCTAGAGTGCCTTTGTAATTAGCTAATTGCACAGCTTTTAAAAACATACGTCTTTAAGGTAGCTTTTGACAACAATAGCAAGAAAACAACAAAAAAAGAAAATGCATAGAGAGCACACCTGACATTACTGAACATGCACGTGTTTAATTGTCTTTATAAAGCAGATCTGGAGCATGATTGGTCAAATATAATTAAACGAGAAAATAGCTTAAGTCAAGTAAATGCTCTTTTTTTCAAATTCCATTCCATTACCCATAGATTTGCGCAAAACCTAAATATCGCAATAGAAAACTTGTAATGGAAACACCTAAATTTCGAAAAACCTCTCAAATATCGCTAAAAAGTTTTTACGCTCTCATGAGGTGGTTTTTCAGACGCGTCGATATAGAAGTAAATCGCAAAAGTGTAATGGAAACACTATTCGAAATTTGAAAAAAAAAATTCGCAAAAATTATTTTGCGAAAAAATGTAATGGAAATGCAGCTAAAGTCATTTTATCTAAATGCTAAAATATTCAACAAAGTAAAATTTTCCAATTATATTTTTACATCGCAGATTCAGCTACTGTCTTGTTTTGTTTTGTTTTTTACTCATTGTCACGTATTTGTATTTTTAACTGTTTTAAAGTTTCATTTACATGATCGAAATAAAGATATAAATCAATCAAATCACCCTCAATGCAATGAGTATACGCTGAATCTATCTGTGCTGCATGATGTGTACCAGAAGTTAAAAATTTGTTTCCTGTTTTTCTTGAGAAAGTCTCGAAAGAAGCGCCTTATTTTGAAGTTTTTGTCAAGACTGACGGACAAAAACAAACAGGACAGTTATATAACGCTCTTGGCTGAAGTGATAATGAAACACGTCATGGCGGCGCTTCATAAAGGAGCGAAGAGGAACAGCCAGAGTCTGTGATGGGTTGTGTGATTGGTAAATGATATGCTAACACAGGACACACTCCACTGGTTTCCCCTGCTATGCTGTTTAATCTCATTCAAGCAAAATGCCGGCTGTGTTTAGGTGAAAATGTGTGTGTGAGTGTGAGCGTGGTGAGGGGGGTTGAATGATAGAGCTGAAGAAGCAGCAGCACCAAAAACTACATCCCTGCTCTGTTCTGGCAGCGAAACACAAACCCGACCTCCTTAGAGAGTCGAGCGATTTGAATATTTACGGGGCTCCCGTGCCTCTGCCTTTTGACCCTTAACTGTTTGCCGTGAACCTGAACTGCAGGTTAAGTAGAGGAGGAGAAGAGGGTATGCTCTGCAGGAGAACTCCGATGCAGGAGACGGCGGCTGCTGGTGCTGTTTATCGACGGCTGGTATGAACGGCCACACGGAGAGATAATGAGCCAATAAGGCAGAGAGGAGACGCAGGAAAGACTGTCCTCTCCACTGTCTGATCACTTATTCAGCCTGTCTTATCCACTCATACACACTAAGCTAATATAAGATTGTGCGTGCCTCTTACTCTGCAGGTCAATATTTACAGTCTCTTTGTGTAATTTGGCGTTAAAGTGTCGTCCCTCTGCTTCCACAGCTTCTACACCTGTTTGGATCGAGGGCAATGACACCTGTAAAGCTGATCAGAACCGACGACGTCCCACACTCACCAGGAACCATTCCAGCGAGGGTGGAGGTCGGGTAGCTGCCCTGGCCTGTGGGAGGGACGTGAGGGGGATACCCAGGTAAGGTTGTGTTGGCCATATCTCGACCTGGGGAGACAAAGATACAACAAAAACAAACTTCATTCATGCTTCCAAGTGCTAAGAGGACATGCTAATTAGGATGCTAACTTCAAAGAAAAAACTCAATATTGTTTCATATGAACTTAAATTGACAATTTTTTTTGGCCCAGTGGTTAAATCCCACTCCATGCAAGTTCTTAGCCTGGGTTCACTTCCAATCAGTTGCCCTTTTCTGGCATGTTATCCTGCCCTTTCTCTATTAGTGTCCTGCTCTATCCATTGTCCTGTGTTCTTAAAAAAAAAAGGCTTAAAAGCACAAATTAAACTCTCCATAACTAAAACTAACTTCAGTCAAGAATCTTCAACATTTTAAGCCTCACAGTTGCAGTTAAAAATGAGCACCAGTGCGTAATTTGCTTGGTAATCTTTTTGTATTTTGTACAGAAAAATGTCCACCTTGTAGCTGATGGTTATATTTTCTTTTGCACATCATAACAGGGCGTCAGTATGAATTTTAGTCCGTTTCATAAAGGTATAAAAACTCCTCAGAATTGCTTTAAATGAGGGATTAATATTCTTCTATAGCAGACCTGAAGAGCTGGTCATGTATTATGTCAACGCTAGAGTGCAGCCGCCAGCTGCCAGCAAGGGATGTAGCTTTGGTTATTGGTGAATGCTATTTAGATATAACGCTCTACTACCCGGATGTAAACAAGCACAGATGACATCTTTATCTACAGTTTCCAAAGTTTTGACAAAGCTGAGCTTGACATAACATTTTATTTACTATAAGATGAAAATAAGGGCGATATGGTAACTAAAATTTAGCTTTGCTCCCAGAACTTTGATTGGGGTGTTCATTTTTGCACCCCGGTTTTAAATTGAAAAAAAAAAAAACTTTTTTGTATGCAACTTAAAAAAAGTCTTGTTTGCAATCAATGGCCTTCATTTGGGGGAGTATTTTGTTATATAGTGTGACATAGAAAATGTTGATTTTGAAAGGAAGCTAAAGGTTTTCTGACAACTCCGAAGGGGTGTACTCATTTAAGGTGAGCACTGTACGTCTGAGTGTCAGTACAACACAAGTCAAGACCGAGTCAGACGGACAAAGTGACACAACCTACGATCTGTAACCTGCAAAGGTATGTGGACATAAACCTGAATGGAGGACTTCACTTAAATTTGCACTTAAACGATTTGCAATATCCATATGGACTGCTAAGTGTCCCTTGTTATACTTAATGAATGTAGCGATCTGTATTGTGGTAATATCATATTGGTAATAAAACATTAAATTTCTATCAGTTCTTTATTTGTACGGATATTTTTGTGAACTTTTTTCAGTTTTTGAACACCCCTACATTTCCTCAGTGCAGTTTTCAAGGGATAATTGTACCCAGTTTGAAACACGTTGCTGAATCACAAATTACAGTCCTGTTTTCAAGTTTAAGCCGATGTCATTCAAAATAAATCAAAAAAGCATTACAGCAAATATCACCAGTTTGCATTTCACAGATGCCCCCCATACATGATGTTAATATCAAGAGTTTTATCAAATATAAAAAACGACAGTAGCATACAGCCAATTCATGTTTGAACAACAAAAGAAGTTACTGTCACGAGTCATCTCCGTGTGATTTAGTCGGCACGCCTCAGATCGACTCAAACAGCCGACATTTTAAAGACAAATCTGTGAGCCTGAACTGAGAGGCATTGGTCACCTCTCTGACACGTGAACAAAAAACAAGCCAACAGATGCAGCTGAACTCCGGTCACATGAGCATGTGTCCTCATTACACAGTTCAAACCTGCCTATATATGGCAGCCTTTACTGACTCCCACAGGGCACCTCTTTCTCTTTTTTTTTTTTTCCCCTCCTCTGTGGCTGTAAAGTCGGAGCGCACCGGCCCCTCGGCGCAGCGTCACTCTGCAGATATTCAGCTCTGTAATTAAGAGTGACGGCTGGGCTGTCCTCGCTGACCACGGGAACGTTTGGACAACGGCACGTAACCCCAATCTGCACAGGGGCCGGGGCAAGAGAGGCCCCTGTTATATTGTCAGCTGTGAGGGCCACTTGGACTCAGAAAGGAAAATCCTCGCCGAATTGAGCTTTAATGAGGAATCAGGAGATGAAACGCACTTTAACGCCACAGAACAACTGTTGTCCGTGTTGTCGGCTTTACAAACACGGTCCAGGAAAAACAAACGCCCTGAAGTATGCGGAGAGAAGTTTTCATCAAGATGATCCACAATAGGTCGAACTCAGAGCCTAGTGGAGGCCTGTTTAATTACAACGCTCCAAGTGACGCTTTAGACTGAAAACCTTTGTTTTGAAAGAGATGAGGCGCTTTCTACATCTACTTTCTTTTAACATCAAGAAAGACTTTTTTCATAGTTTCCTGATGGTCTTTGTGATAGCTTTCCAAGTACAGTGTTTTATTTTTACTTCTTGGGTCAGTTATCTTAGTCCGTGCATGTTTTACTTATGCATGAAAAGTGATTGTATATGAAAGAAACCAAAGATTTCGGGTTCAGTAGCCAGAAATACACCCAGAAAATCTAAAATTAATGCCACTGATGGTTGTGAATGTAGCATTTAAGGGTTAAAACAATCAGCTAAAACTTAAAATGCGTACAGAACTTCTTAAATATCAAATTTAAATGTTGTTGCCAGTGAGCGTTACCTACGAGAGCACAAACCACAGGCAAATTCAGATTTGTTTTTCTAATTCACAAAGGTTCATTATCATGAGCAACTCATTGGTTTAACTAAGAGTGAGTCATGGGGGCCAGGGAGTGAAACGGCTGATGAAGCTGGTGGAAGACCTGGAAGTTCACAAGACTCTAGTCTGCTAAGGGGAGGAGTGAAGGAGGCCTTTCATAGTTTGCACAAATTTTTGACCATGAAACACAAAAATACACGTAACACTGTGATCAGATCATCAAGACTTTTTCAAGGATGTTGTCACGCTGAGTTTGTGACTTAGAGAGTGGATGAAATAATCTATACTGGTGCAGAATTACTGCATTTTAGAGGTGTCTTAATTTTACTTTTACTATATTTTCTGTTGGTCTGCTCAGGCCACCAAGTAGCAGTCACAAAAACAAGTTAAAAGACATTAAATACATCAGAATAAACATAGAAAGCCCAGGGTATAAAAATATAACTTCTCCATTTCTGATCAAAAATTAGAAAACGAAACAAATCGGCCAAATGTCGAACACTTGTTCTCTTTTATTTGCAAATCTCGGCACTGCCGGTCGTATTGTCTGAGAAGCGGTGAGATGTGTCTTTGGTTGAATCTCTGCGAGACGCTGCTGCAGTTGAGGAGCTTTGCAGAGAAGAGTGAGGTCATGCTAGACCTTTCATTTATAAGAAGAATTAGTTAGCCACAAGCCAGTGCACTTAAGTCAAAGGGAGCCGGGGGAGTAGTGCAGGTGGGGGGTCCTGCAGGGTTGAGGCTATTGTGAGTGTGTGAGTGTGTGTCTGTGTGTGTGTGTGTGGGCATAGCTAACTATTGTCTAACTGTCTCAGTGAGCACTGACCCAATCTTTTTTTTTTACATTATTATTGCAGCAGCTGCAGCAGTCATACATGTGTAATAAAAGTAAACACTGTTATCTCTTTATTAGCGCCATTAAAAAAGATTAAAATTCATAATCGAGAGCAGGATAGCAACTGTTACTGAGCATGCTCAAAGGGAACATCTGGGATCAAGGTTTGAAGACAGACAGAAAAAAATGCATCAAGAAAAATCGACAGTTTCAACTTGAAGTTGCTTTATAAAAGGAAATTGCAGCTAAACTTTTCATCTATTTAGAAATAAGTTAAACTATTTTAAGTGTGTTTTAATGTATCTCTCCATGCATCAAAGTCCATTAGAAAGTTTAATAAAATCAGAAAATGACTGGAAAAAATGACTTTAAGTAGGATGAATGAATCTGCCAATACATGATCAATATCTTGATATCTTGATACCAGCAATAGAAGCAAAAACTGAGCACATTTAGTTTTTTTTGCCTATTTTTTAAAGTACATATGCAAAAACCAATCCTGTATTTTGGTAAAAGCCGAATCGTAATCTGCGTAGAAAAAAGAGCAAAGATGTGAAAAAGTGTTTTGTTTCACTCAGTGGATGAGCTTTAAAGATTTGTGTATGTATCCTTGCTCTTTGCGGTCTGTTTCAGTCATAACTGGTTGATAGTCGCTAAGAACCGCAGCCTCTGTTGAAACCTGTTTTTGTATAATCCAGGGTACAGTTGGCAGTGACTGCCAGCAGCACTGTGACTGCTGCTTTATGTCCGCTTTAAAGCGCCTCTTTCAGAGAGGCGCCAGCTTGGAGAACTCTCTGTACAGCAATGATAGCCTCATTAGCTGCTTGCTAGCCTTTGTTGTTTTTTCAACAGAGATGTGTGTCCAGATTCTCATTAAAAGATGACCTTCTTTATATTGTCTCTTTTCCTCTGACAGCCCCCTTAGATTGAACGCCAGCAAATCAAGTGATTTATTTTCCCCTGTCCTGTCCTCTTTCTTTCGCTGCCTGTGAAAAAATCAAATATTTTTTGGTTTGCTGTAACAAAAGCCTGTTGATTTGTGTCTTAATTTGAGAAGTGGCTTGTAACAGTCACTGATGAGCTGGGAATACAGTATTTCCTCTGTTTGCAGTCTGACAATGAAGAACAAATTGAGAGCAAATGACAGCATTAAGTACTGCTGGAGCTGTGCTTTTGAAGCGTTTCGCTGTTTTTTTGCCAGGACTGAGGAGATTCATGAGTTTATCTCAACCCACAACAGCACGACAACAAAAGTTATGATCAGACTTTGCAAAAAGATTAATTTGGTTTCTTAAACCACAAACAGAAAACACAGGGTGACCTTCTCTGTGTTTGGCACGGGAACAAAGTCGTTTGTGAATGACTCTTTTGCTTGCAAGAGTATTAAATTTAGCATGACAGGGACACCTTCATGTTTGCTACAACAACAACCACGAAATCTTTGACCTCCATTTTCCAGGCTATATGCAGAATGGGGCAATTTATCACCAGCCAAAAAATCTCAGCACCCTAATTAATTACAACTAAGTAAAGAATGTTTGGAGAGCCAAATTGCTTTAATTCCCCAAACGCTTGCTGAAAGTCATTCATTATCAAATGTGTGCTCAAAGGTTAGTTTGCTTTTGTGAAGAAGAAATAAGCATTAATTTCGGAGCCTGGGCGTGCGTGTCCCCCTGTGGGGAGACGGGCGAGCTGTTTGTCATGAGGCCACATGTCACTGACGGCAGGTTCACCGTCTGATCTTTGCTCGCTGCTCACTGGACAACGGCAGGTCTTGGTACTTTCCGTGTAGAGCACTCACTCACTCCGCTTAATTGAATGTGGATAGTTTGTGTTTGCCGGATGAGGTTTTGTTTAGAGAGGATAAAAGAGCAGGAACAGGAGCAGCTGCTTAAGGAGGAGAAGTGTCATTGACACTCAGGCTTTGAGCCTTTGGAGGCCTCCATTAACAGGCCCAGCAGGGAATATGTTTAAAGAGTCTTCAGTATGCAGTCACCGAGTGGAGATGTGTAAAACTCCCACTGAGTGCTCAGGGGAATCCACTCAGCGCTCAAAGATGCCTCTTAAGTCTGAAGCACTGTTGAGAAAACAGGTGGGCTCTGACTAATTTCAGGAAATACAGAGACTCTCTATAGAAATAGTGGACAATCGGCCGTATCAAGGCCATCTCTCCATTTATTTCTCAAAAATACACAAAAAAAAGTTCTGAGCTCCTCCTTCTGCTATTCATAAATTCACTCTCCGCTTGCACTCTTTGAATTTTAAGCAGTTCGAATGAACAAGAATAAGAAGCACTTGAGATGAAATCCATCTCTCGAAGGGAATTCATCAAAGAAATTACTTCCCATATCAACAATAGAAATTACCTCACAATATGCAATTGTCCTTTCCTCATATTCATGGAACCCTTTGGTGTTTTTATGGGGTAAGAGGGACTATTGAGCAGGTAATACAGCATTAATGTGGAGGAGAGGGAGAGAGAAAAGGAGCGGGTTTTAATGGAAGTGACTTCTTGCCTCTGAATTTCGATGATGTGCACAATGGCCTTAAATCCCTTTCTTATTTGAGCCTGCTTTGCAGGTACTTTTCAGCCCCTAATAGGATAAGCAGAGGACACAAAAGATTTCTATCTCTCAAGTCTTTCACTTCACCCAGAATCCCGATCTCTGGCAATGAGCACCTCATGAATCATTCATTTTTAATAGATTATGCAAATTCCAGCACATAAAATCAACAAGATCAATAACTGCAGGCGTTTTAATTGGTGTTGGAAAACATTTTAAGGATGAACATAATCTCCAGTTCTTTCCCCCGTAAAGACACAATTAATTTGAAATTGGATCTCAGCCTAAACACTGCAGATAATTTACTACTTTTTGCGAGGCTTAAAATTCCTCTGGTAGGCTTATCGCTGGCAAGTAAACTGTAATACTCAGCCATTAGAGAGACCACACACCTGAATATCACCCAATATCCACAGAGGCGGGCACTGAGGGAAAACAGAGCTGAGGAGCCACAAACTAAATACTAATTAGAGGAAGTCAGAGACGTGTTTGTCCCGTTAGTTTGACCTCTGTATGATTTATTTCCACAGATCTATCAGCAGGAAACAAACTTTTTCACAGCTACCTGAGTACTTCATGTGCTAATATCCTGATTGCAACGATATATCAGCATCAAAAATATAAAATAAAATGAAAAAAAATGAAGATACAGGGCTGTCATGTCATGTTTTTGTTGTTTCTCTTGAGTTGGTGTGAATGGAAGAGTGCGTGAAATGGGCCTGAAAAGTACAGATTGAAATACTTTACCGATATTGTCCCCTTAAGAACGCTAAATACAGTTTTAGTTGATATTTTAACTTGTAATTTACATAATTTTGTTCTTTTGTGAGTTGGTTGAAATGGAAAAATGAGACTCAACGAAATGTCGACCTAGAGAAAAAAAAGTTCCAAATTTCCTCTGAAGAAAAGATCATTATAAAGATTTTTCTCCTGATTGAAAATAACTTTTTTTTCCCCCCATTAAATTCCTGGCAGGAATCAAAGTCACGTGATATCTTTTGAAGCTTTACTGTAAGCTGATATAAACACAAAGGATTGTATATCGAAAGAGGCCTTTAAAAATATCGGCCTTGGAAAATATCGACCAAGATTTTTGTCTTAAAAAAAGCGGTCTCCTTTACATCCATAAATTTGCCTTGACTTTCATTTTTACGATTTTTTAACAGTTTTATCTTCTTTTTTTTTTCTCTATAATTCAAAACAAATTACTCGTATTTCAATAATCTGAAGGTATTGCAGGATGATGTAATTGCTGTGAAACCAGTTTTATCATGGCGTCAACTTATATAACTAACTGACCCCAGAACTGATTTGGAGGAAATTCGGTAGCACTTTATTTGACGCCTCTCTCTATAACGCATGAAGAAATATATTTATAATACATTATAATCACGTTATAGCACTGTATAACTATAGTTATAAACACTCATAAATGATCATAATGCTTTATAACAATAATCATAACACATTATAAAGCATTTTATCATGACTTACAAGGTCAGGTATTATAATGTGTTATAACTGTTAACAACTCACTAGATAATGCAATGCAACTGTTGATATCAGTTATAACACATTATAATACCTGACCTTGTAAGTCATGATAAAATACTTTATAATGTGTTTTGGTTTTTGCTAAAAAGCATTATGATCATTTATGAGTGTTTATAACTATAGATATACAGTGCTATAACGTGATTATAACACATTATACATATATTTCTTAATGCGTTATAGAGATAGGCATCAAACATTCATATCATGACTGACTAAATCAATTCAACACAATATTGTAAAACACTTTTCTAAAGAATCAATGTGATCTTCCACTTTGTTCAAACTTTTGAAACTCGTCCCTCCTGTGATACAGTCACAAACTCAGTCACATGCATACAATCCCATCTCTCTCCCTCTGTGTGTCTCTTTGCACCTGTAAGGTAAGGAGAGCCTCTCTGCAGAAAAATATCCCAGGTGCAAACAAAAGCCGCCTGCAGAACCAGACCTGCTTCCTACAGGGGCCATCAGTGCACAAAGGACAAACACACACCTTTCTTCTCAGGAGGCCTGCCTTACAGGGGAAATCTACCTCCCACATATTAATGAGAAAAGGGCCATTTCTTTTCTCATAACGCTGCTCGGCTATCATTTGAGAAGGGGGGCTGCTGCTGCTGCTGCTGCTGCTGCAATTTTCAATCACCCTGTCCTCCCCCACGCAGAACTCGTTGCCTTTGATGGCTGCTGCATAATTATATGAATTTTAATAAAAGCTCCGTATATTAATCTCAAGGCTCTCCGACAGTCATCGTAAACTTTCAGTAAACTTAACCTTCTTCTTGGTAATAACGCGGCAACATCGAAACAATATTTCAATTAGCCAGGCAGTCATTAACTGTGACAAGGAGAGGAGAGGAAGAGGAGGGGAGAAGGGAGATAGGAGGGTGAAATAAATGATCATGGTGTTAGAGTTAGGCGGCAGAAATGCCAGAGCGTATTTACCGAGGCACATTACTCGTGCTTTGAGACACACAAACTGTCTGCCCGCGAACAAATCACAGGAGCAACACAGCAGCCGACAAGCAGTCTGTCCTGCATGGTGGCCCTTTTTTTTTTTTTTCTCTCTGTGAGACCTTGCTCTGATACACAGTCATAGTTCTGATGTGCTGACACCCAAAGGTCCTTGTCCAGCGGTGACTGAACAGCCCCTCCGCCCCCCATCACACCGCACAATCTCTCTTAGTGCCCCTGCAAACTCAGCAAAAAAGCAGACTGAGGACAGCTGCTGGGCTCTTAACGCATCATCGTACCACCTTTTCAGCTCAGAGTGCAACGGTATTAAAAAAGTCTTCACACTTAACTTTTTTGGTTTCGCTTTTTATTTCCACACATTTCATAGTTTTTCCGTCGTAGTCAATTGCACAATCATGTTTTCTTTTTTTTTTTTCTTTCTTTTTTTACAGCGATCAAACCCCCTCAGCTGAAGCTGTGGCTCGGCAGCATAAAGGCGGACTGAGCGGCACTTGATCTTACCTACAGGGTAGCTTTGCGACACGCTGGGGCCCAGGTCTGGGTTGGCGCTAGAGGATAAACTGGGCTTGACTTCGTCCAGGCTGGAATTCAGGCCAGGGAGCGCGTACTCATTAGCCTGGGAAAAGGACAGTTGAATCATTACACAACCAAACAATACCTAGATGGAAATCCTCCCTTCTCCTCCTCCATTAAGCGCTCCACACAGGCCTGCACGAGTATAAATTTGTATGAGAGCTTTGTATGTGTGTGTGTGTGTGTGTGAGCGCCTGCGTGTGTGTGTGTGCGTGTGTGTTCAAGCTGCAGGGTGGCAGTTCAAGCATATCATGAATGTATTTTGGTATTGTCTGAGAGGAAGTGGGATTTTGAGATGAGTGAAAAGCCAAGGCGTCAGCTGGCCCTTTGTGCTTGACTGCAGTGTTACCCCTGATCAGCCAAGGGAGAAAGCAGTTCTGCTTTGTTACCAGCACACCATGTGGCCTGTTTGAGGGACACCATTCACCTTTTTTTTTTTTTTCCTTTTTCCTTTTTGATTTTAATTTAGAGTCTAAACCACCTTTAAATTTCATTACATCTTTTCTCTCAATTGAATAATTTGTACAACTTGGACTTGTAGCGATTTGATTATCTGGGCTTTCGGCGTATTGTGTACGTCTGGATGTTGCGTAAAAGGACAAGCTCGCCAGTTATCGCCGAATAAAAGATTAGCTCTAGCTTTTATCTAGAGTTAGATATCTTTGATTTCATGAGCTCATGTTAGATCTGAAATTCTCAGATTTACATAAACTTGTGTCGTTTGATTTCTCCCCCAAAGCACAAGTATTAGTCTAGATTTGAATACATCTCTATCGTAAGACAAAATGAACTTTTATTGTTTTATTTTTAAGAGGACTTATTTATTGGTTTAAATCACCAAACTTCTCACCTATATAATATTTTGACACCGCCTAAAGTGGGTTAAGTAAGTCTAGAAATGACTGGTGAAAATAAGAGTAAATGATTGGAGCAGCCAACTTTTCGATGTTCAATATTCATCGCCATGCATGATATATTTCGTTTAGTGCCAAACAGTCTCTCCGGAAAACAACATCCTGCTCACTCAGGATAATCAACTATAATCACTTTATTGGGATTGTTTCCTGAGCAGTTCCAGTAAAAAGTTTTCACAGCCAAGTCAGTGGATTAGCCAGAGTAAGTGGGACAAACAAACATCAGCGTTTGACTCAGCAGCGCTTGTTTGTTTTCCACCAAATCAGAAAAGTCATCTTTTCCTATACTCCTGTTTCCTCATCTTGTCCCCTTTTGTAAGACTCTCCTCTGGCAGATGTTGGGAGGTTTTCCCCCTTTAATGAGATGAGACTTCCGGAGTCTGAGTGTTGACAATGTTTGTCCAAAGCCCAGTGTGAGCCTGAGTGGCTCAGTGGGCCTCGCTCCCACAGGGGGGGACGCCCGTGACCCCGCTCTTGTCTGCCACTATCACCGATAAACTCTAATTGTCTGCTACAACTGTTCACTGGCACAATGTCGGATGTTTTCCTCTATTCTCGCAGGCTTCAGACGCCAAACAGACGTTTTATCATGCAGATAAAGGGCAGAAGGGGGAAAACTGAAAAGATAGGTCTGAATGGGATGACCAAATGGCTAGCAGAAGTGTGGGAGGGGTGAATCCATTGAGTTTTGCATCTCCAGAATGGGTTTTTAATGCCCCGCTACAGAACCCAGACACTGGCTAATAGGGCCACATTTTCCTGAGGAAAAGAAACGTGAGGCGCCCATGAAAGGGAAAGTGCTCTGATTAATATTGCATTAAATTAAACCTGATTTTTCTAGACTGTTCTTGGCCTCTTTTTTTCCCCCTGCTTGCACCCTTTTTTTTTTTTAGTCCAACCCCTTTTCCCTTTGCCTTTTAATACTCTCCCTGACGCTCTTTGTGATTGCAAGTCATTTCCAATTCGTTTTGGTATTGATCTTCCAGTAGAAATCAGTTTTGTAATTAGCTGCAAATTAGGCCCTCTTCTGGAGGTGAGGCCTGTCCCACTGATTTATCACCTGCGTAATTCGCCCCGATTGGAGAGAAATTAAAATGAACTCAATTAGGCGACTGCTTTTGCTTTATGGGTCCGACTTGTAGTTTGGTGGGAGAAATTAATAGTCTCTTGTTGTTTAATAGTATAATGAAAGTAAATAAAGGTTATCCATTGTAATAAGCCCAGAGCTTTTAATAAGCGCTGCTTTCTGGCTGTCGCTTTTTTTTGCGTGTGGGGGTGGCTGTTCCTCAAACGCCTCTTAATTTTTGAAATGAGGATGGATGGCGAGGAGGAAGGAGCAGGAGAGTACATGGTTTTCAAATGTCCATTTCATGAATGCACAGAGAGACGGCGTCAGTCATTAAACATCAACATATCACACAGCGTTGGAAAAATCAACAGTGAAGATAAGAAGCAGCGGTTGAATAACACAGCAAAAATGAAGAAAAATGCAACTATTGATTAATTTCATGTTGCCTTACTGTTATTCTCAATTATACGGGACACAAGGAATGTGTTTTTCATCACAAAATCAATAATGTGTGGGAGTTTTCCCGGTGATCCCTGCAGCATTATACATGCCGGGTTGTAATCTAGTGCTTGGCCATCTCAGACGTTTCTTTAATTAGCTTTAGTTTCTGGATGGTTTGGGAATATTTGTGACAAAAGTGTGTTTTCAGCATCACATGCACAATTTGTACGGTGTATTTACTGAAGTCACAGTGCTACTAACCTGTTCAGGTTTGATGTGCTCCGATGTTGGGAAGACGTCAGGGTACGAGGGGCGTTCAAAGACCCGGTCCAGTGCTTCCAGCTGCTGTTGGGTGAAGGCATCAGCCCTAAGGTGTTTCCGTAAACTCTCCACACTACCCTGAGAATCACTGTTTGGGCCAGAACCATCTGAACCATCTACAAGAAGAGAGAGCAACAATCGAGACACTGACCCCGGGAAGCTGGCCTTTTACTTTCAAGCTTTACACTTTATATTCTCCTCATGTTTTTTCCCCCCCTTTCTGTACCACCTCTGTGGGGGACCAGAGGAAGGACAGAAAGAGATGAAGTGCAGGTTTTTCCTATTCTTAATAGCTGTAGTGAGCCACTGGCTACATCACACAGGCTTTTTCCTGCAACCTCCATCTCACAGTTGCAACATCATGATCTGAAAGCCCTCTGGTAATTGATGGATTACCATCACTTGCAAATATATACATGTGGCGAGCATGTATACTAATGAAAGCAGCAGCCAGCCCATTACAACAGCTTTTTTTTCTCCATTCCAGCCAAAGGATTTTCTATTTTTTGTTCGCTGGAATTACAGGCAGATTTTTTTTCCCCCCCTAAAAAGCACATTTTCCCTTCAACAATTCAATTCTGCTTTTATTCCCTGCAAGTGTGTGGTTCCATTTGGAAACAGCGGGCAGAGGACAAGAGGCTGAATAAAATTGTACAGTGTAGTTCAATCATCCCGCTCTCCAAACACAGGAATTTTCTCCTGACTCCTGACCTGATTACCCGACTGTTGGGAGAAGGATGCCTTCACTTCTGTTGTCACTTGGATATGCCGCTTTATACAGACCATCCAGACCCCTCCCCGCCCCCTCTCTCTCCCTCTCTCTCTCTCCAGCCGCTGCACCTCCACCTCCACCTCCACCTCTCCTTTTGGCTGCAGTGACTGTGTCTGTAGGTCTCCTCCCAGGATCCCAGAAAGCTTCAACCCCCTTACAAATCTGTCATTCTAAATTTGCTGCAGATTATGTTCTCCCCTCAGTGGGAGAGCTGTGATATATGATATGCAAGGCCCCTATTGATTGCCTGATCTGGTGGCAAGAGGGAGCTGAAATGAACTTGAAATGAACATCATGCCTCAACTCATTGTGCGTATAATACTCTACTTAATCCCACATTTTTCTCTGCCATGGAATTCAATTGATCAATCATGTCTGTGTGATAGTACCATTTGGGAGGGTTATTGCCATTCTATTCTGCTGCTTGACCTTTTTTCACAGGCTGAGGCCAGTGGATGAACCCAGTTCTCCTGTGAAGGAGCTATAAAAGACTGTGTGTGTATGTGTGTGTGTGTGCCTGAGCACATGTGAGTGTGTGTAACCTGGAATTGGGCTGATAGCTGCAGAAATGTCAAGCAACAAATCAGTCGTGAGGTGCTAACAATATCATGTTCGGTTTTTCCCCGTGCTACTGAACGCAGGACGAAGTTGCGTCATCGGTTTTGAAAAGCGTGGAAATCCCTGTCCTCGTGTTACCTTACATCAAAACGTCTTTGAGGTCAACTTCAATCTTGAGGACCATTTAGGTTTTTGGTCTTTAGAGAGAAAGTGGAGGTGGTGGATCACAGTAATTTACCGTCAAAGTATCATACAGAAACTACTGATTCTGATTTGTTGTAATATCTTTTAGTCCAATAGAGTTTTACGCTTTCCAGTCACACAAATTAGAGGATTAAATGCTTCATTTTGGTGGTCAGATTCTTGTAGTGTTCAAATGGTGAATTCCCATCGATCTGAAATTAGTATCAAAGTAAATATTGAGGTTTAAATTTTAATGAATTGGTGAAAAAGACAAAAGCATTAGGTTATTTGGTGCTATAGATTCAAGAACATGAGTGACCAATGGCAGAAGCAACATTTCACTGTGTTTGTTATTCTATACATCATTACAAATATTAAGTGAAACACGAGCCAATGACTGTTTTGGGTGTAAGCTGCCGTCACTATGGATGGGAAAAATACATCTTGCATTGAGAGAAGATGATGGTGAAATAGGCCTGACTTATATAATGCCGATTACGTCAATCAATTAATCGATAGAGATGGATTAATCCATTTATCTCGACTCCTCTTTTTCATCTGATATCTCATAAAAGGCCATGAGCAGCACAATCATAGTTTCCACAAATATGCCGCATATCAGACATACAACACTTAAAAAAAGACGTTTGTTTACACGCGGTTGTGTTATATCTTCACTTTAAAGCTCCTGTAAGGAACGTTCAGTTTGTGTCAACTTTGGCGCCCCCTGCAGACAAAGCAGTCTTTTCTTATCTGTCTTTGACAGTCACATGCATCATTCGTTTTGAAGATTTTACGTGGGACAGTCAAATCATACCTAGACCTACCTAGACATTAGAAATGACAATATGCAAATTTCTCGTCATGTCGCTGATGGTCTTGTTTGCTCTTGGATGTCATGAAAGGCTTCAATTTGAATTTCAGTCTTTTTCGTAAACATCGAAATTGTAATGTTCTTTGTGAGACTGATCTAGATCTTCAGCACCTTTCTCACTCCAGAGGTGATTAAGGGAAACAACTAGCCCAACACCTCTATATCTCAGTGATACACATTTCCTCGATTAGCGCAAAAATCAAAATATTTATGGTAAAAAATAAGCAGGCAGTTAAAGTCAGCCACCACAAGTGCTTTATATGTAGGGGGGATGGCTTGATCCATTACATAAGAGGTTAGCACGACGTCTAAATCAAAAGCTAACAGCTCTCTCTCGAAACATTTCCCTCCATCCAGGTAAATATTCATGTTTTTTCTCAGCCTCAGTGAAGGCCTTCACCGAGCATCGTCGCTGCTTGTCACTTTATCAAACTCAATTGTTCTCTTTGCTACCAGCGCAAATAGAGTCATTAATTACTATCCATCAGCCGGCCTGAGCCACAACACCTGATCAATACCCCCCACCATATTTGTCATTCACCACAGAGGAATACACTTCCCACACACAAGACAAACCATCCTAGGTCAACCTACACACTCTTCCTCCCACTCAGGCTGAGGACAGTCCCATCTGCCCTCTCACATACAGACTCCCACCTGACAAATCAGCAGCAGCCGTGAGGATGATCCCGGTGACATCTTCAACATTTGTTTTTCTGCTTCACGTGTTAGAAGTCACATTAACAAAATTTCTTCATTTGGATCTGAGATAGGAGTTCAAGTGTTTACAAGGCGTGTGATTTAATCAGGTCTGGGGTTTATGCGCACCTACAAATTTAATCAGATCAGCTTGGTGACATGCGCAAAAGAGATCCTTTCCTCTTCCGGTTCAAGGGTTTGATCAGCCCCCTGTTTTGATGATGACTTTTTCCAGAACACTTGTCCTTCTATGAGTTGTGTTTTTTTGTGCACTAACCTATCTTAAATCATGCTTTGATTTGCTAGCTTTTACTAATTTGACTTAGTTTTAATTATTCACTTAAATTTTGCTTAGTAAAAAGTTTTGGTAGCACTTTACTTGACGCTTATCTCCATAACTCATTATAAATATATGTATAATGTGTTATAATCACGTTATAGCACTGTATAACTATAGTTATAAACATTCATAAATAGGGCCTGACCGATTTATCGGCGAGCAGTTGAAAATGCTTTTCTGGTCCGTGTTTGATCAGTCGGTCTACAGTATATATATATTTTTTAGAACTTCCTAAAAAATTTTTAAAAATCGTCCGATTAATCGATAATCAGATTTTTTTCCCCCCTAATAATCGGTATCGGCATCGGCCCCAGAAAATCCATATCGGTCGGGCTCTACTCATAAATGATCATAATGCTTTATATCAATAATCAGAAATCATTATAAAGCAATGTGTCACGCTTATTGTTATAAGGCCTTATGATAGTTAATAAGTGTTTATAATGATAGGTTTACAAGTTTATAAGCAAATTATAACACATCATAAATATATGTATAATGCATTATCTATGTGGGCATTATCAGTAAGTTGTTAACAGTTATAAGACATTATAATGCCTGACCTTGTAAGTCATGATAAAATGCTTTATAATGTGTTACGATTATTTCTATAAAGCATTATGATCATTTATGAGTGTTTATAACTTGATTATAATGCATTATACATATATTCATAATGTGTTATAGAGACAGGCGTCAAGTGTTACCAAAGATTTTTAAAGAGTTGTACGTCTCTTCAAGACTGTGCAATAAATCCTTTTTTTTTTTAAGTAGTGGGAATTACTTTTTTTTATTTCCAAAACTATTCTGGTTATTTCACGACGTGTTTTAGTCCTTGTTTAAGAGATAACACAGTGATATTTACTCACGAATTAAAGCTCAACATTTTGTTTATTTGAACGGTTTTCTTGGGTCACAAGGAGTCAATCTTAAATCAAAGTATTTACCCTCTGAGAGAGTGTTCAGGTTCAGTTAACCGTCAAAAAGCACTCCTCATCACTACAAGAAGTCACTCTCAATATTTGGACATCTCCAAACGCAGCCATTATGCTAATGTCCACGATGGCTTTGTTGGTGCGTTACGCGCTTGTCCCGCTCTGTGGTCGTTTATTGATCATCGGATTGGAGTTGAGTGTATTCATCTTGACATCCCTCTGTATTAACACTCCGGTAACGAGGGAGCAGCCTCCATCAGATCAGATAACCAGCTCTATAAAGCAGACTCTTCTCTGTGGGTTTGGCACCCAGAGGTCACGACCCCTGGCGGGAGGCTTCGGCCAACGTAACTCAGGGGAGTGGGAGTGAGTCTGAGCGACTGCCCCGCCAAACAAAAACAGAGCAAGTTTTCATGAATGGGGCGCAGATTGAGTGGTCATGGAGGTTTTTCTGAAAGTCTTTGAGAGGACGGAGAAGACTCTAAAGTGGAAGTTTAAACTTTCACCCCCAAAAAACAGAGTCACTTAGTTTGTATTAGAGGCAAGAGAAAGTAAGCTGGCACCTCGGGGTCATAAAAGCCCCCTCCTCTAAAGAATGAGCTTAACCCCCCCACCTCTGAGTTGGCTCCATGTTTAAATAACATGTCAACATACATGTGCACTCATTCCCTCAACACGTTGTTGTGTATTTCACAATAATATACCTCCATGATTTCCCGCCTGATTCAATTCCCGCTTAATGAAATGAAATTAAAACAAATTGGATGAACTCAGCCTCATTTTGGTTTCTCTAATTGAGTGTTTGGATTACGTGAACATAAATGAAAAACTGCTTTTTTTCCCCTCTGCGTCTTAACAGATCCGTGATTGTTGTCGGAGGAGATTAGAAAACGGATTAATGGAAAATTGTTGATAATCAGTCATACAAAAAATGCCCAATTTCCTCTTTCGGCGGCTTCTTGAAAGCGCATCACTACTTTTTCTTCACTTTTACATGATGTATGTGCGTTTTTTCCCCAGAGCGGAGGCTGTTTATCAATCAAAGAGGGAAATTATGAGACACTTTTCCACCTTTTTATGGATTAAATGAGGTTATCTGTTATCTGTGCCTGATAACTCTCCAGATCCAGAGGTGAAGATTGTGGAAACCTCACTACCTGGGATATTCCCGAGCTTTCAAAGGCTTTATTAATCTGATTGGGAGTTTGCACTGGAGGTGCTGACACTCGGCTGCGCTCAGTTTTCCTGTGTTGATTCTTCCTCTCCCCCAAAACAGATGCTGATACACAGAGCAGGGTGTGACGGCGGCCCGCTCCATCACTCATCTCCATCCGCTCAGTCCTCACAACGCTGAGCGAGGAGAAATAATTAATTCAACAGCCACTGAAGCACAGAATCACATCCATTCTGACTGCCACTGGCTATTGTTGTTGGCTTTTTTTTCTCTTTTTTTTAAATATATGATGATCATCTTATCATGAAATTTCTCTCTTGTTGTTTCTCTCATAAATCAAGAAGAAAGCCTCGACCACAAAGAGAGAAAAGCCACCCGAATGACTGAAATTAAGAGTCGTCTGCTGGTCTGATTGTCGATTTGAGGGCCGCTCTGAAAAGGCGTGTGCCGAGACTTTGAAAGACCGGACACACTTCGTGGACGTGTTCTCAAAAAAGACCGTCCAAAGCGTCTGCTCAGGTCAATTCAGCCCAGTCACAGTCGACGAACAAAAACATCCATAAGAGCGAATTCGCACTCAAACATCACATCCTGTATGAATGCGTCTTCTTGTTTTACCCTTAGAGGAGCAGCTTCTCCTTTGTTTTTTTTTCTGGAGCCCTCAGTGTCAGAAGAGTGGGGGGATGGAGGAGTCGTGGATGTTAATCTGTGAGGTAATAGCTTTTCTCTGCAGAATTGCAAATTCTAATATATGTCACTTTGCGGACAGCCGTGGTCACCATCTCCAGAAGTCTCTCCCTCTTCCTCTCCACCTACCTCCCCCCCTCCGCTCTGTGTGTCCGCAACAATGGCTGCCAAGTGTAACATGCTACTTTTAATTTGCAATAACACGTGACAATAGCAGATTAATGGCTCTTATGACACCTGTGTCCCTGAAGCTCCTCTTGCTGAGACCCAGTGTACATAACGTGTGTCACACTACATTATCTCTACATCCCTGCTGTAATAGGGGACTTTTTTTAAGGGCACTGCTGACTTGGAAACTTAGGAGCTGTCTGGCTGCTTGGCACCGAGCCACAGCTACTGCCTAAAACAAATACTCCTCACGACACAGCCAATCCATTTCAGCGGGGTTTGTGAAGCACACACAAGCGCCCGCCCCTCCCTTCCCTTCCCTCCCAACCCCTTCGCCTCTTTTCCTTTCCCTCATTTTTGTTCATGTTTTCAACCCTTGATAATGACTGCTTGTGCCATAATCATCATGAGGCTTACCAAGTTAAATAGGGCTCAGGCAAAGCTACAGTGCTGTGAGGAAATTTAATCCAAGCATTAACTGGATATAGACTGCTGCCTTCTGAGGGAAGCAAAACACGTCTGCAACAAGGCAAACAAGGTAACGCTGAAACACAGACTTCTGCTTAAACCACGAAATGACCATGAAACACCTCAGCAGCAGGAAAAACCTGTTTCATATACTTATATCATGTGGCAAACTTTCTCCAAAAAGATCTATTTCTGTCCTGTGTTGGTTGCAATCTATCATTTCTTGACATATTTCCAATAGATTGATGTTATTATTTATATTCCTTGGATGAATTTGATCAAAATTGCTTAAATACAACTGAAGAGAGACGTCAAACTAAGACAAAAAGACAAAATGTTGAAAATTTGGTATTATATCTGAGTTTTGTTCAATAATACTCCCAAAAGATGACATTTAATGGATGAAAGGTAATAACAGAAGCTTAATTTCATTAGTAAGCTATACTGTTAGCTAAATTGTCTCCTAGATGTTTGGAAAATCCTGACAGAAAACCACATGGATTTACCTCAATTCCCTAGATGATTAAAAGTGAACAAATATTAACAAATCATATGAGTTGAAGGTGTCCCAAAAAAGCTTAAATGATCCAGTGATCAGGTCTTTTGCACGTTGAAATTTGTGCTTTTAACTTAGAGAAAACGGGGAAAAACTTCTGAAATCCTGGAGACGTAATTCAAGTGTCCAAAAACAAAAGCTATAGCCGTCCCTCGGAGAACATATCAACCAAACAGTCTCCAGACCTTGAAATCAGGTGTTTTTTGTTTTCTCTTTTGGGGTAAGGTGCACTTTGATAGAAGACAGCAACAGGACAGTAGTGTCTACAGGGTAACATACTATGTAATATACTATTCTTACAAACTGTGGCTCCAGGCGAGACATTGCTTTTGCAAGCATTGTGTGTGTGTGTGCGGGCGGCCAAGGCCCGGGGTTTATGTTTTGGAAAGATAAAGTATCCCTGACCCTGTGCTTCCAGGTAGGCACCAGCTGGCCGTAGAGAGAGTATATAAGAACCACAGCTCCCTCCGTCACCCTCAGTGCAAGTCCTACCCCTGACACACACATACACACACAGACACACACGCACATTTCTTCTCTTTCATCGTAATGCTAGTCGAGCACCTAAATCACAGAAATGGCAGCACATCAGGGGAATCATTTGAGACTGAATAGCCGTAGAAACATGGTGCTGTCACCTGGAAGACCTCCACAAAACAGGCCAGCTCTCCCCCTCACACACACATACCTCACTCCTCTCCATGCCCTTTAATACCTCTTTGCCCTTCAGTTGCAATCTGCATAGAAATGTGTGCATTCTATCATTCAGTGACTAGACATTACACCCCAGTTAATATGAGAGGTCCTCGAACGACTGAAAATGAACCCTCGAAAAACACCAGACGTTTGCATTATGCCTCCACGATTGCATCTCTTACAGGGAAAGACTTGATTATGTCATTTGCCATGTCCACGTCATGCTGGTTTTTATATCTCTGCCAGGAAATCTACCTCTGACAGGTCATTAGTCATCCCTCCCTCCCCTGCACGCACATAAAAACATCAATTCCACTCAATATCCCCGCAAACCCCCGCGCTTCTCGACAAAAAAAACCCGCCAGAACAAAGAAGACGCTATGTAAACCACTGCCGTGCTCTGATTAGCTCTCATTCCAGAGCACTGCAGAAATAAGGCACTCATTCCCCCACCCTGTTAGAGATAACTGCCCCCTTTTCAGCAGCCACATCATCCCTCCATACCCGCACATGCTTTTGGAACATGAGTGCATCTGTTTAGCTATTCTCATCAGCTACTTATGTGGTGACATTAAGGAAGCCTATTGCTTACAGAACCAATAATCTATATCGCCTCAGGCCCCCTTATATCCACTACTTCAGCAGCAGGAGTGCAGCCACTTTTGTTAAAGGAGAAAAGAGAAGAAAAAAAAAAAAGAGAAACAGCCCTCCACAGAGCTGTAGCGGCTTTCTTGACTGACCCGGGTGGTTGGCTACATCATCTTGACATGTAATTATCTAAAGCCCTTTAATCACTTCCATAAAGATTAATTGCAGGAGACAACAGCGGAGGTCGTGTCTTCAAATCAAAAGCCTCCTTGGCAGATTGACACAGCGGTGTAACAGAGTTCAGTCTTAGGTGTTTTATAAGGGTCATCTACTGGAACTGAGGCGGCTTTTAATGCTGTAATTGCAAGTTCAGCAAAGTGGGTTTTATAACGTAAAGCTGCAAAGAATTCTATTTAGTTTTTTAGCTTTTGGAGGATTTTCGACATTTGCTTTGTGCTAATCCTGAGCTGAGCTTATGTGATTTTTCTATTTTTTTTTTTTTTACTTTACTCCCATCAAGAAAGAGAAACTCTCTTACCTTCATCTCTTTTCCTCTTTTCTCCATTGGATCGGGGAATTCCCAGAATCCCATTGATGGAGTAGGATCCTGCCGGGTCATTGGAGGCGCTGGTTACAGGCGGGGAGGTTGTGCTTGGTACTGGAATAAAGATGGACAGATATTAGCAAACAGCCTTTATTTCAGGTAGATACTTGATACATCATTCACAAATATTAGTGACACAACTTTAGCAGTTTGTTGGGTGACGATATTGGATTTGGTGCTACTATACAATGTGGCGTCTGGTTTTCTTATTGACCTGATTTGGGGGCGTATGATTCATATGAAAGACAAATACCAACATTTATTTACAATCACAGAAATATGATTAAAAAATGTTCCTGATAGTTGTATCCCCAGGTATATACAAGTAAAGTGCTTACAAATGCCTCTATTGATTCATAAGCGGACTGATATATTGGTTGAGTAAAATATTGGTAGACTGATTTATTGGTTGATTCTGATTAGTCAGTGTTACCAGCAGATCAATACATTGGTCGACTTATATATTGGTAGATTGATATATTGTTTAACAGATATAGTGGTAGGCTTATGTATCGGTTGATATATCGGTCAAATGGTATTGGTAGATTGATGCATCGGTCGACTTATACATTGGTAGACTGAAAAACAGGTGAACTCTTACAGTGGTCGGCTGATATAATGGTTGATTAATACATTGGTCATCTGATATCGATAGATCAACATATTGGTCGATTTATACATTGGTGGACTGATATATTCATTGATTGATATTGCTCTAGCTGTACATGGTTGATATTTCAGTCAAATCGTACTGGTACATTGATGCATTGGTCGACTTATAGACTGATAAACAGGCAGACTCTTACAGTGGTTGATTGATATAATGGTTGAGTCATACATTGGTCATTTGATATCGATCGATCAACATATTGGTCGATTTATATATTGGTGGACTGGTATAGTCATTGATTGATATTTTCCTTGCTGTACATTGGTCAACTTATTTATTGGTTGATATATCAATAGACCGATATACTATTAGGATATAGTGATAGCCTTATGTATCGGTCGACCAATATATTGCTCTATCTGTGTTAAATATGATAATATGGATTATTTTTTTTATATGTATTAATTTTATCCGGATATTAATGATTCAGCTCATTTGTTGATCAATAACATTATAATTTTGACACGCCCATTGATAATATGCAGTACAGGCTTTAATCCCATTAAGTGATGGACAGCTGTGTTACCTATAGTATGGCCTGGTGTTGACAGTGATGACCCATCAGGAGATGGATGGAAAGGCTGCTGGACTTTAGTTCGGATGATCCTGAGGAACAAAAAAAAAAAAACAAACATCACACTTTTTGTTAGATCTGCTTCCCTCTGACTGGGACTCCACACCTCCTCTAATACAAGCGTGTAGTCCATACATGGCGGCCGCTACGGAGATATTGTGCGATTAAGATATCAAACTGCAGCTCATACACGAGTAGGGATGCTGGTCAGTGGCTCTACCTTAAAGGTGAGGTATGGAGAAAAGTCTTCATTGCACTTTTGGTCTGAGTGATCTTGCAAACAAAGCATGAAATCACATCAATTCACCTCAATGATCAGCTTCACTGACTCTACCTGGCCCACACTAATCAGCTCTCTCTCTCTCTCACTCTCTCTCTCTCCCCCTCTCCCTCTCACAGTGGAGGGGGGGAGTTTCACTGGGAGCAGCCCTATAGTAGCCCTTTGCTTCCTGGATCAAACATCTCTGTAGGACCGAGCAGCCCCCCCTGCATGTGCCAATGCGGATGAGGTTGTATTGATCGGGGCTTGGGGAGAAAAAGTTGGGGATTAGTCACACGGGCAAACAGATGCAAATAGAAAGCTATAAATTATATGTGACAGGAAAGCAATAGTTCCTTATTGCCTTGCACAAGCTTACGCCAGCATTAGATTCCTTTAATCTGAATGGCACTTGGGGAGAAAGGGAGCTGTCACAATAATTTGTTAACTTTAAAACTATTCATCATGTGTGGCACGAGAGCTATTTCTAAGGGGGTCAGTTAGGGTCTCTGACCATTTGAGGGTCGAAGGAAAATACAGTCTACCTTTTATTCTTTGTGTGTTTTATTTCTGGAGAAGTAAACACGTGACTAAAACCCAAAGTTCTTTCTCTCTGTCATATGAATTCAGATTTTATTCTATTTCTTGCAGTAGATTAAAAAAGGATCTGCTTAGAAAAACTGCAAATTTAGATTAAGAGTCTTAGTTTTTCCACATTATACATCCAGTAGATTGTATTGCTGCATGTTTTGCATGTTTTCATTCAAAGATTCATTAAAAATCACTTTCTCAGATCATGATGCAAAGTTTTAAAAGCACCGTTCCCACATTTCCCACATTGAGGATAAATCTGGACCATTTTTTTTAAAGATGCACCGATCCATTTTTTTCTGATCTAACCCGATACCAATACCGATACCTGGGCTGAACATATCGGCCAATATCCGATACCGATTCAATACTACTGTTAAATAATTGAACTGGATACTTTGCCCTGCGAGTGAAGGCATCAGGCTTGACATTAGCATTGTTCCCAAAAAAGGTAAAAAATGAACACATATAAATTTACTTAAGATTATTTATTAAGAAATAACAAATAGCACGTTAGCACACAGCAAAAAGAAGTACGACTCCCGTGTATTAAAAAAATTATAATAATACAAAAAACTGGATCAGAGCGCTGGATCGGCAACATTCATCCGATAGCCGATAGAGTTAATATGTCAATATCGGAGCCGATATCTGATACCAATTCAATGCTACTGTTAAATAATTGAACTTGTATACTTTGCCGTGTGAGTGAAGGCATCAGGCTCGACATTAGCCTTGTTTTAAAAAAGGTAAAAAATTAACACAGATATCAATTTACTTATATATTAAAAATTATATTAAAAAAAAGACTGGATCAGAACGCTGGATAGGCATCATTCGTCCGATATCCGATCCAGTCAATTTGTCAATATCGGAGCCGATATCCGAACCAAATATCGTATCGATGCATCCTATTTTTTACGTTTATTTCTCTGTATGGAAAACTCCCTCTGAAATTTCCTGTTTTTACACATCATACAGAAAAAAAAGCAGATTTTATTCCTTCATTTATTCCTTCGTCTATTTCTGTCGATTAAAAAAAATAGATAAAACAGAGATAACAGCTTTGTCACGGAGCCAGAGATCTTTATTTTTGTTTCACATTATGAAAAAAAAGGAATCAAATGATTTTGATATTGATGTTGCTTTAGGTGCTGGAGGACTTGAGAGGAGTTAATCCAACACTGTCACAAATTGAAAAAAAAAAAAAAACCCTTGAAGGCAAAGCCACCTCACAACAAACCTCTCCACAGAGCGCATATTGATGTTTTAATTTTTTTCACTTCGCCTCATAACAGTTATTCGACCCCTTGACTTGAGCGTGCTACATAAATTCAAAGACTTTATTTGGTATCCATGTTCTTGATATTGAATAAGCAATTTGGGAGAATGAATTAATGACCTGGCTGTTGCTGAAAATCCCCCTGAAGAAATATTAAAATTGCTTTCCCCCTGAATCAATAATATCCAGCACCATTGAGAAGCCTTTTCTTTTTTTGTTTGTTTTATGTCTCCCAGCAGGGGAGCGTTACTTGTTGGCTGTGGTGGCCCTCGCTCGTCGTACAACACTATCTCTGTAGCATTTAATAATGCATGCAGGGGGAAAGGTGTTTAAACGGAGCGTCCTCCTTTGTCAACAGTCCTGAGGTCAGACTGTCTGCCACAGAAACCCACCACTGGCCCCAGTCAGGATCACCCAAGTGGAAAAGACTCCGGCTCCAGTCTTTCCGCCTTTTTCTCCGGATTGTCTTAACAGGTTAAGTCATGTTTGTGGAGTTAAACTTCAAGAGTCTTTTTGAGAGATCTCTAAACCCAGCTTGAAGCAACAAACAGATAATCCAAATCAAAATCTATTGTGTAATTGAAACACTTTGGGTGTTTTTATTGATTTTTTTCTCAAACTGCTCCTTTAGAAATTCAAACATGCATTGAAATATTAACCCCGCCTGCTAGATCAAAACAAATGCTGTCTCATTTGTGTGTGTGTGTGTGTGTGCGTGCTCTATTGTATATGTGCAGCACAGACAGCCCCACAGTCACACTTCTTCCTCTGCTTGAAAAAAAATCAGCATTAAGCCTTAATAGAAATTCTAAGTAGCTCTCATACTGTATTTGACTGATAGAATTACACTTCTTTGTATTCACAATTTAATTTCGCACATAAACAAAGACGCATAAAGCCCCCTCCCCCTCGCTTTAAAATAGAAAGCTTTAATTGGAATTGAAAAAAAGAAACTTTATAGAGCTCTTTTAATGATATTAATGTACGTTTTGAATTTATCACATACATGTGTCTGAGCCTCCTTAAATGGGGCTTTTTAAGCAGCCACGAAGCATGAAATGAATTTTCTTCAGCCCCCTTTTTTTTTTTTTCCTCCTCTATTTAAAAGATGTCTTGTGTGGAGCTGTCCATGCTCTCCCATCAGCTCATTAAAATGTAATGCTGATGCTGGCTCTATGGAACAGTGCCTCTTAACCAAAGTTCATCACCAGGGATCTCTGCTGGGGGGGTGTGTGTGTGTGTCCTGGGTCCTCCTGAAGCTGCCTTTTTGATAACTACAGTGATTTGTCTTTGAATTTCTTGACGGAAAATGAAGATCTGTAGCACGAATAGTGTGTGAAATGTGGATTATTTTAATCTGTGTGAAGAAAAGGGGTCATCGTAGCAGACATAGATCTCCCAATAGTTAAAAATCAATACATTTGTGTATTATGAAGCTTCATTTTAATCAATAAATACGAGAAAAGTCTCACTAAACTGAATTAAATGTGGATATTTTGTTATAATACATTCTCAAAAATAAGAGGAGTTCACATCTGAACCAAAATAGTCATAAATTTTAATATTTTATAATACTAAATTGGCAATACTACAGATTTTTTTGCAGCACACTCATATTAACATTTTATAAATTTGTTTTATTCAAGAAAACTGCACATTTCTTGTACGATTATTGCTACTTGACTATGTCAGAGGGCTTATTTTAAGAGCTTTTATGCTATTGTTAAGGCAAAATTGATAGAGCACTTTTATGCATCATCATAATGCAACATCAATATTAATTACAGCGAGATATCAACTTGAATTTTAATGCCAGGATTTAACTCAAGAGTCTTGTTGCGAAACAGAAGGAGCACTTTTATTTTTATCTCTCTTTTTATTTGTGAGGCATTAATTTTCGACATTAAAATTTCTTATTTGAAGGCATTTGTAAAAGTGAAAGCCAGTGTTGCTCCCTCTCTCTCTCCTTCAGTCTGTGCAGAAGCAGCTCCAGCTCCAGCAGCAGCAGCACATTAGATGTGCTAAAGAAAATTGGCCTGCTTTATAGCGCCACGGGATCTGGTCACCGAATATTGATCGGTTTTCATCTCGACAGATTCACTCAGTCCTGGATGTACTGCTGATTGTTGAGGGAGTTTGGTCTGAAAGATTGAATTGCACCTCAGAGACCGCGTGAGGAAGGCAGGCGGGCGGGCTTGGGCGCACGGGGCAGCAGGAACTTGGTCAAACAATATTCAGCTCATGGAGGGACCTGATTGCTCATTAGCGCTCCTGACCCTTTTTTACTAACCTGTTTACATCCTAAATTCTCCAACATTTAGAGAAATCCTCATTTTCAAGCGTAACAGATCATATGGAGATGTTTCTGTCCTACCTGTTAATGGATGAGACGCTTGGAACCGTGTCGTTGTCGCAGATGCCCTCTGCCAGCAGTCTGTCCCTGATCTCCCACGCAAACATGGTGGGGTTTTGCCTCTTGTAGTCCGCGATTTTCTCCACCACTTTTGGAGTGGCCACTTTAGGTTTAGAGCCACCGATAACACCTGGTTTGATGCTTCCAGTCTCGTAATACCTGCAAAAAACAAAATACGATCTCCGCTGAAATAACGATAGAATGCAAAATTCACGACCTCATGCGTAATATCCAAAAGTCCAACTTTAAACTTGTTTGTGTGACAGTACCTCCTCATAAATAACGATACTAAAAGAGCATGCATGAATGCGCAGACAGCAAAAACAGTCAAGTCTTGTTATATCTGCAAAAAAATACGATCTCCACTGAAATAACGATAGAATGCAAAATTAACGACATGAGATGTAGCGTTTAATGTAGTTTTAGAGACATGATGCACTCATGCGTAATATCCAAAAGTCCAACTTTCTTGTAGTAAAACATGAAACTTGTTTGTTTGTAAGTACCTCCTTGTAAATAACGATACTAAAAGTTCTGGAATAACGCACAAGAGCATGCAAAAACAGTCGTCAAATTAAATTAAGTTAATCAAAAATGTAAAATCAACACAAGCATCCTCACAAAATCAACCCTAAAATACAAACTGGAACACATCTTAAATATGCATCCCTCTCCACCACCTCCACCTTCACCCACTCCATCTCTGCCAGTCTACCTGCCTGCAGCTGCAGGGCTGTGGCCGCAGACCCTTCACCCACCTGCCCAGGATCTTGCTGACACAGCCGTGGCTCACGCGCAGTTGCCTGGAGATGTCGCAGGGCCGGACGCCTTGGTGGGCCAGCTCCACGATCCGCTGCCTGACCACGTCCGGAAGGGGTCTGCCGTTCACAAACACCCCGCCAAGCTGGTTCACACCTCCGTGCCCTACGTGGGATACAACAGCAGCACACACACAACCGTAACATTACATAAAGTCGTTATAAGGAGAGGAAGACGCAGATGGAGAAAGGGGATTTTTCCACGTTAATATTGGATACACCGAAATTATCATGAGAATTTTTCTTTAATTATTTATCTAAAGATGCTAAAATAAAAAATAAATAAATAACAATTATAGTTTTCTGAATAAATAAATAACCTCTCTCTTTTATGCCTTTGCTGTATTTCAGGAAAACGGTAATTTGTGGTTTTTTTCATATTTACGCACCGTTTTGAGCAAAACTATGCCATGTAAATAATGTTTTTTCACGGTTCACCTGGAAAGAAAACACCCAAAATATTAAATTTTATTTGTGCACACTGCAGCTCAAAATGTGTCTTATTTGTGCACGTGCCTCTCTCCTAAAAAAGGCATTTTACATTAGTGATTACAAGGCTACTATTATTTAAACAATAATGCTACATTTAACCATTTTTAAAAATACACATTTATAATTTTCAAGCCTTTTAGTTAATTTGGAGCTGATGTGACACCTACATTAATCCATCCTGAATTACCCACTCTCTCAGCTGTTATTTGGATCCACTAAAAAAAATGAACTTATTTGACTTTTCTTGACCTGAAAGTTTCTCCAACACTTCATTTTTCTCTCGTGGCCCCTCCACGGCTCGTGTTGTCTATCAAGTTTCAGCTCTGCTCGGTGTATTTTAAATAATTGAAGCAGCTTTGATCACTCATATTACAAATTATTTACTCAATGAAGGGGTCGTTAATAATTTACGCACAAATTACAAGCAGACCACGTCGTGTGTGGATTTAAAGTGGACTTAGAGACTTTAGTGTTATTTGATTAATTTAAATAATACATGTGTAACTCATGTGTTGTGACTTATTAGGGCCTTTACACACACACGGAGAGCGCGCGGGAAATAAGAGGCTGATACACGTGTAAATTAGAGAGCACCTGCACGCGCATGTTCTTTGTTTACTCCAAGTTTTAATTCATGAATCTCACTGCTGTGTTTACACAATCACTGCTACACTTCATTTTTAGTTTTTATGAATTTTTCTAACCGTATTTGAAGAGAAGAAAATGTGAAAATGTGAGATTTTTATTCCACTATCATCCTCACGTTTCCATGTTTACCTCCATTAGCCTGGTGATGCGTCTTGGCGCATAAACATCGCTATTCCTCCTCCTTGCTTCAGGCCTTTTTATTATGCTTATATATATATTTTTTTATATAAAGCATTTCTGCATTATCTCTCCTGCATGCATGCACAGGCTGCAGTGGCAGAGGAACTCGCGTTGTGCTACTTACGGTGCATCGCTGTGAAGGGGTCTGCTTTGCAGTGAATATCCATTGGATAGCAAAGGAAAGACAGATAATCAACTGAAGTCGCCGTTTCGCCTTCCTATCAAGGATGAAATTAGTGAAGAAAAAAACCGGTGATTCTACTCGATGGAGGGACTTGTAAAGGGTTTTTGCCCCCTCCAACCTCCGCTTCAAATGGCAACTTCTTCCTTTAAAAGTTGTCCTTTTCTGTTTCTCTTCAACAGTCCGGTCCGCGCGAGGAGCTCTGGCAGGTGCGCAGCATGACCGGAGGATTGTTGGAGAAAACCGCGACCCCGGGTTGTTGAGTTTGTCGGTGTTCTTTTTCAGGAGAATGGGAGAATAGGTATAGGGGGTAAAATCTCACAAGCGATGTCCAAGCGTGCAGGGCCCGGTATCTCCTCAGTCCTGGTGGCCTGGATTCACGCGTCAAAACGGCGCAGAAAAACCTGCACACACGAGCACACACATCGGGGGTGTCTCTCTCACTCTCTCTCACTCTCTCTCTCTTTCTCGCGCTGGATGCGTTAGGCTGGATCTTTGGGGCTGGGAATGAAGCCTCTCTCTGTGTCTGTGGTTCTAAAAGCTGCAACCCTCCCTCCTTCCCCTCCTCCCCCTCCTCCTCCTCCTCCTTCCTCCCCCCCTCTGCAGACCCCCCTTTTGCTTATATGGATGACTTGTCAGACAAAGGCAATAGATGCCAACACTTTGTGATTCGCTAACGCAAAACCAGAAAAAAAAACAAAAAAACTTGGGGTCCAAATGAGGAGGTCTGTGGCTCTGACACGGCGGCAGGAAGGGGAGGGAGATAAATAAAGGATGGATTCGGACTTTATTGGACATTTTAACAGCTGTGAATCATGCGCACACTCACTCAAAGTTTTGAATCAATGAAATAGACATTATTTTTTATCAAATTGGACTGTTTCTGAGCTTTTTTTTCGCGATACTTACGCACAGGTCTCATCTCAATACTCATATACATGTATGTTTATTTAGTTTCCACTCATGTGTCTTTATACCACCTCTATTCCCAAAAAGGCCTCTTATAGTTTGTCCCCATGCTGATTCCATTTTCCTTGGATTTGATTGGCTTAAAAAAAACGTCAGATTACTCCTTTAACATAAATTCTGTATCTGTATCGACCCCCTCTCTCATCACACTGATGCTGCGATGATCGCTCTGATCCAAACTGTGGAGTCTGTGGTGCCGGATGAGAGGTTGGAGGTGAAGGCTGCTCCTGACGCCGTAGTTGCCGCTGAGCTTCTGTAGATGGCGCTGTATAGTTTCCCAAACGTGAGGTGGCTGATGGAGTGGGGGGGTCCAAAAAAAAAGTGAGAGTGGAGTTGCACTTGAGCGCATGTGGTCAGACCTGAGGAGTTAAAAAGAAGAGGGGGAAATTCATAACAGCAGATTCACATAAAGAAGATAAAAAAGTTCAGTTTTGGACATGTGTGTGGAAACATCTGAGTGGGGTAAATATCTAAAAGGTGTAAATAAAGGTGTAACGTGAACGTGACAGTACGTGTTCCGTGTATAATTAATATATATATAAAAACAATTTTCATGTAGTTTGTGACAATTAATGTTTTAAATGATCAGAAAAGCTTCATATCAGATGTGTTTCTTTAAATTTTACACGTTGTTTTACGCAAAGAAGTGTATAATGAAAATGTGACAATTTTGTGTGGCAATTAAAAAAAAAAAAGACAAATCTGAAAATTAATCAGCAAAACTAAAAGAAACTCCAAGACTAGATATATATAAACATGTATTTTAAAAATAAATACACAAATTCAGCTGAAAGGAAAGTTTTAATTAATGTAAAAAATGAGCAAAGATTGTCATTTAATATTAGTGTATACCTAAAGTAACCTTTTTTTTATTTCGACTTTTACAAGAGGACACTTGGGGAGTACAATGAGGTGCAGTTGTAAAAAAAAAACAATATCCCAACTAAGAAACAAGTTCGTCATAACCCTGAATCTGCACATGCTCAGTTTGGTTCTCTTGCTGCTCACTTAAAAAGAGTAGTACTTTAACACAACAGAAGCTCTCAACACAACTGCTCACTACAAAGTGCAAAGGGTGTTTTCTTTTTTTTTTTTAGTATTTTTTTCCTGCTGGATAAATTTTTGAAGTCTGTAAATTTAAACTAAAATTAATTAAATTTTTAATCTGTTTGGAAAAATAGATAATAAGGGCAGCTGTAATACTGACCTTTTTCATTAAATTGAAGAAACTGTTTTTTTAATGTGTCAAAAAAGGAGGACATGTGTGTTTTTTTTTTTTTTTAAAGAGATTTGTGAGTTATGAAGAAAAATGTGAAAAACGTCACAGTTATCCCGGTCTCCCCCACTACTACTTAAAATAATTTCATAATAATAATAAAAATAATTATAATAGTAATTTTTCTTGTTTTTTTTTGTCATGTTTGCTGGCATTAGGGGGCCGAGATGGGGGGGTCATCTCTTCGGGGCAGACGGCCTCCTCTCGTGCTCTGCCTCCTGGTCAGGTTAGGGGATGATTTCTCTTTTTGTTACTGTTTTTGGAGTGAGCTTCTGGTACAATATGTAGCACTATAGGCTGTAATTTCACAGCCGGCTGCACATTTCCCTTAAAGCTACACTCTTTTTTTTCTCTCCCCCCTCTCTCTCTCTCTCCCTCTCCCTCTTTACAAGACCCCCACCTTCACGACCATCATCACCACGTCTCCTCCTTTTACTTCCCTTCTCTCCTTATATTTTGGACCACCCTTGTGCACAAAAAAATTAAGCAAAATGCTGAAGTTGTTGTTTTCAAATTAAGGCATATACAAAAGTGTGCGCGTGTTGTGTTTGCTTTGTGTGCACGTGCGCTCAGATGGGGCTGTGCGTAACCTATAACCTCTCTTTTTTGGAGAGGAGGCTGCTCCATTCATCTGCTACAACCTGGGGGTCAAAGTACCACTAAAAGCCTTTTAGCAGGACCAAAGTCGGAGCAATTGTCGACTCTTTTTCTGCGTTTTTACTTTAAAAGTCGAAAAATTACGCAAATGTTCTTAATATTTACATTTTTCTTTCAGTTTGACGCACATCTGCGCTACTTAAGACGGCGTCACTCCATGTCAAGAGTTTGCAAAAATGTTTTTGGAGCCTGCGTGCACCCATTAGGAGAAGGTGTAATGTATTGACAGAGAGCCATTTATCTTTTGCCCCGCTTCCTAATGGCCTGTGCGCACAGGAGGGGAGAGGAGAAGAAAGAAGGAGAGGAGGAGGAGGAGGAGGAGGAGGAAGCAGCAGCAGCAGTAGTGGCATCACCGAGGGTCCGGCAGCTCCTCCAGCAGAACATCAGCTCACACCTGCCCAGACAGGATGAGTAGAGGTGGTGATGGTGTGGTGGAGAACTTTGATTTGAGATGGCAGAGAGGTGTCATTGCGCGTGTCTTTTTCTTTTTTTTTTTCTTTACTTGCTCCTCTCGTGACTCTGCTGGTTGTCTCGCGGTATTCCGACGTCACCAATCGATCAGAGTTTCCCTGCAGAGGGGAGCTGACAGCGCTGGGTGTAAGTTGAACATCAATCCTTTTTGGATTTTAGTGAATAGATGTGGGTGAATGTGCGTAAAAATCAAGGCCATTTTAATCTCATTTTTGCGCATTTGGCACACCTTGGGGATCAGATCAATTATTTCTACAAAATGCACGCGTAATGTAGCATCTATTTTTCACAGACTCTCTACTTTGCCTAACATATGCAGCAATTTTTAAAAAAATTAAATAAAAAAAATTCAATTGATTTAACAATCAACGACAAACTTTTTGCATCTCATCCTGTAACTCCACATAAATCGTCATAAATCGTGTATTTCTCAGTGTGTCCTGTGCTCCAGCAGAGAGAGAGAGGTAACACACACACACTCTCCAGGTCACTCAGTGTGAACAGATGGAGCATCAATCTGATTCCACCCTCTATACACCGTGAAGGATTGATTTTGCACTTGCTTTTAATTTTGCCCATAATTAATTGGATCATTACAGCTGTTTTGCATTGATCCCCCATCCTCGTTAAAATGTAAAATTAGGATGTGATCCATGTTTTTATGGCCAGTTCTGTTTATTTATATATTTATGTATAAAAAAAGATCGGTAGTTATTTGAGACTATTTCTTTCATGAGTGCAGAATCTATGTTTCTATAACACAATTATGAACTCATTACGTGACTTTTGGACACGCATTTTGGTTCTTTGGGAAACTTTGCAAAAATTCCAAACATATTTTAATATTTGTCAGCAATTTTAATTAGTTTTACCTTAATGATAATATCACTTTTTTATTGATTTATATATACGATGTGATTCTGGTGTAATTACGTCTATAAGGATATGGACGTAGTTTGTCTTGTCATGTTTTTTTGACGATTTCAAAATAAAATAAAATCAATTTAAACGTATAATTCGGAAAACTACACTTAAATGAATAGTTATTGAAAAGAAATGTTCTATCTTTGCCCAACTTTTCTGACATTTTCAAAATATTTTAGGATAAAAATAGAAACTAAATCACATTGCATAGACTTCAACATAAAAAATCAGCATTTTATTCTGATTTTTCTCCTTGGTCCTGGTATTTTTTCACCCAAATCCGTCCGTTTAATGCCGCCATTTTGAGCGTTTACTGTCTTTGATGGTGGAGCATCAAAAATTAAGAACAGACGTAAAAGTCAATGCTGAGCTTTACAGCTGTCAGGATCGTATATCAGATGATAAAACACACACACAGGAAGCCCTTTCACCTGCTCCCCACAGTAACTCCACACTGTAAAAAATTCCACCTTAATTTAAAACTGCTGCTGTGTGCTGCTGCTGCTGCCGGTTTGGTGTTAACTCCAATTAAAGTCTTCTTATATCTGCTTCAGTGTTTCAGGTTGGCTGTTCAGCTGATGATCTGCTCCATCATTAGTCCCACACCACACACACATTTACACTCACACGCACGCACACACACACAGCAGTAGATACCACTGACTAGTGGTTCCTGTGATTCTGTATTGGATTAAAGATCCAAATGCAAGTGAAATCAGGTTACATTACTTTGATTGGAAAACACTTTGTTAAATTACTTTTCATACCCTGAGCACAAGAGCAGTCAGACAGTCGGGTTTCTGAGCTCCTCTATGCCTCAGGTACAGCAAATCATTAAGAAAAATTAACATCTCATTTGCATTTAAACATGGAAGAAGCCCCAAATAAAAAACTACAATTATCAATATTTTAATGTTTATAATTATTACAGGCGTTTAATTTCACCTCATCAAAGACGGTTTCAGCATCCTGTTACTTTTCACCCACATTAGAGAAATGATATCAACAATATTAATATTCAAAGTATTTCACACACGTCTTTCCACCTTCATGCATTCACACTAAGTTGGGGAATAAAGACTTAAAAATACACTCTTGCTCCTCATTCATTATGCAGATTTGAGGGTAATTGTTAAATATGCCCTGCAGTGCTGCTGGATTAAAAATAGGTCTGTATCTTGTCATTTTCAAAAAAAGATAAAATTAAAAAAAAAGAAGTAT